ATTATTCACTAGTGGACTATAGATTAGAAAGAAGATATATTCAATTTTTGTGAGATTGAAGAAAATGGTGTATATATTTATTAAAAAAAGATATATATATATATATATATCTCAATAATTATAATATAATAAAAATAATTTTAAAATAAAAACATAACTTTTTTATTAAAAAAATTTATTAATTATTAATTAAATAATAATAAATTATCTATTTCATATTAAAACTTATTGTAGTTGCAAGAAAATACGATGTCAATGTTTAGGAAATGTTTAAAAATTAGATAACATTTTATTATTTTCAACTTCAGTCGAAATTAGAAAGTGCGATGTGCATTTATAGAGTATAATTTTTTTATTTATTTTATTAATTAAAAAAATATTGGGTGTTAATTGGTGCATAAGACATTGAATTATATCATATAGTAATAACTATAGGTTAAAATTTTAATATTGGTTAAGCGAAAATTAATACTATAATTTTTTTTATAAAAAAAAATAATTACTAGGAATCTTTATTAGTGGAATATGATACTTGGAAAAAACTTGGTTAGCTCGTAATTGCCACTTTACACTTTCTTAACGAATCCTTAATGAAAAGACAATTATACCCTCCGACCACTTAAAATATCCTCTGCACGGCGTCCACCACCACTAATTCTTCTAGAAACCTGCCTTCCCCACACAGCCCCACTCTCTCTCTCTCTCTCTCTCTCTCTCTCTCTCTGCAACTCAAAAGATTCCACTTCAAAAAAGAAAAAAAAAAAAATCAAAATAATGGACGCTAACCCGCTTTGTTTGACAATTCTTATAATATGTAAATGTATATTCATCACTCATTTTATGTTATGTACATTCAAAAATAAGTTTTGATTTTTACGATATGTAAATTATATACATACATCAAGTTGTCTTAAAAAAAAAAACCAAAGTAATGAAACTCACATATTCCAACACATACTCCAATGGCTATATCTTCTCTTTTATAAACATTAGTTAATTTTTTTCCCTCAAAAATTGATTTTGATACAAATCATTATCTCCTTGAATGTATTACCCTTTTCCAAGCTTTAGGGTCTCCTTATAGGCGAGCCCAATTAAATTTCCAACGGGTCCCGACCCTCCCTATCAGCCCATCTATAACTTTTCCCACCTACCATCAATGTTGGGCTCTCAATTTTTATTAAAAGGCATCTTCGACCTCGACTAGTTATTTGATAAGTTTCATCTAGCTCAAAGGCTCGTGTTTTATCTGAAGCTTTTATGCATCTTATTTTTATCATTGCAACCACTCTCCCAACCTCTTTATAAGATACAAATTTAAGGTTTCTGTAGTACTAAATCGTTTATTTCTCCTTCATGAAACTTTTAGTAGTCAACTATCAAGGATTGAAATTTCGTCCCACATGTATACACTGCACATTATATAAATATAGATTAATAGTTTGTTATAATAGAGATTCTAATATTCTTTTTTGAAGTTTGATGCCTATTTATTTTTCTTTCTCATCCTTATCGTATTTAATATATATACTAATTGGTATAGGAGTAAACTTAGTATTTTATATTCCATACATCTTAAAGAGATATTTGATGTGTTTGAATTGGTTGATAAAATTTTTTTATTCTTCATGTTTAATCTACAAACCCTAAAAATATTTTAATTCTCCCATCACGCTTGTTTCAAATTTAGACTTCACATACGTGGAGAAGCCTTTACGTTGTTTTTATTTGGTGCCTCTAAAAATTATGAGATGGTTTACTCTTGTCAAGGAAATTATGTGTCATATACCTTATTTGCCTACATTAACTACATGTAACTTAACAATCACTTTTGGCTTTGGTTTTATAAAGAAGTTTTTAAGGAACTTCTGCTTCCTAAAAAGATCATAATCCCATGCCAACTTTGTCATAGACATTTTTTTGGTTCGATGTAATGAGATCAAATTTTTTACTTCCATTAGTGAACTTCTTCAACAGTTCATTTAGATTATTAATTTTAATGCTTAGACTTACTTTTTCATTTTCATGTCTACTATTCGAATAATTGTCTATGTTTTTAACCAAGAGGTTATTAGTTTATGAAGTTACTTTAGCTTTTTATTTTTTAATGCAACCTTAATTGAGTTATCATGTAGTTCTTTAGAGGCATTTAATAACTCATTAAAGGTAAAGATAATTTTGCTCACTCTATATGAATACTGTAACGGTCTCAAAAATTTAAAAGAAATAAGTGTATTAAAAGTTCTAAGTGCGGAAGCGAAATAAAAATTCTGATTAACATCCCTTACACAATAAACAAAAACGTATTCAACGTATGAAAGAATAAACTAACTGAGGTAAATACTAGTAATGAATGCTATAAATAAAACTATGAAATCCTTAGACGTCTACTCTCTGTCTTCCTGCGGGACGGGCTCGGGAACCAAATCCTCCTGATCTGAAATGGTTAAATAAGGAATGAGCTATACTAACCTAATAAAGATATCACACTATCCCACTGTCACAGAAGTAAAGGTTAGTAGAAAATAAAAACGACCAATGGAACATAATTTATAACAAACTCATTTATTAATAATAAAAACCTTTACTATCCACTTACCTCGGTGAGATTCATGAAAATAACATATGAAAGCAATAACATTATAACCATCATAAAATCATATACACTTTGTAATATAACACATGTTATA